ATTCTTATACATTTATTATTCCATTTAATAGATTATAATGTACAGTTTGGGTTGCTTTATTTGCCATCCCTTCCTCCTTTTGTAACACCTCCTTTTTTCCCTTTCTTTTCTTCCTCCCTCCCTTCTCTACTTTCTTCCTTCTTCCTCTCCTTCTCCTTTCTTCTTCACTTACCTTTCTCCTACTGCTTCCTCTTCCCCCTCATACCCTCTCTCCTTCTCTTTTCTCCCTTCCTCCTCTCCTTACCCCTTTCGTCTTTCTTTCTTGTCACCTCTTCTTGTCTTGGATCTTTCCAGGTATGTTGACTTCAATTCTCCCAAATCTCAAAACATGACCAGTTCTAAGAATTCTGACAATTGGTTCTCTTCCATTGTGGGTGAGTGGTTCCAACTGGTGTTGGTGGAGGATGGAGACTTCATGCCCTTGTGTAGTACTTCAGGAGTCAACTCTTTTGCCTGGATATCATCTACATGAAAATGCAGGGAGAAATCATACTTTGGGTAAATTATCACAGGATGCTAATGATACATGTATATATTTTCATCCCAGGCTGAAGCATAAATGTACTGGAAATCTTGACTCAGGACCTGGAAGCTGTGTGGAACTGAATGGGGAGGGAGGGGAGACTCAAACTGAGACCCAACAGACAATCATTGTACAGGAGTCCTACCTGCTCCTTATGGATTGAGTTTCTCTTGAAAGAGAAATGTAGAATTTGGGGAATTCTCAGGATCTTACAACCCCTTTTAGTACAACAAGTGGAAGTCATGTCCACCAAAGCCTTCTGATGGTTTGGGCAGGTCTGCTAGTTGTGATCCTTCCTGAATTGAAGACAGTGACTCATGTTCTCATTAAACTACTATAATTTGGTCTACATGGGACTGCCATTGAAAATGATTGATAAACTACAGATGGCACAGTATGCAGCTCTCTACCATCAGTACTAATGAATAAGCCCTAGTATAATGCATATTTTAAGCTACCGGAATATTGATTGCCCATAGGCTTCTGGGCCCAATTTAGGGAATGGTAATTGCTTATCAAGTTTTCTACGCTTTAGGTCCTCACTACCTTTGCAATTCAGGTGGAATCTACCTACCAAATGTATGTTAACCAAGAGGCAGCACTGCAAAATGCTTCCTTAGAATTAGCTTCCTCAATTCTAGAACAGATTACACATTTAGGTCAGGATGCCCCACACCACACTGTTAATATTTAAAAAGGTTGTAAAACCAGTTTTATTCCACAGGAACATTGATGTGAAGAGGTTTGATTAAACAGTGGTAGGATTTCTATTGTGATTTTAACTGATTGTTGTTACAATGCTTTTTATAATTGCAAGCCATCTGGAGTCTTGCAAGTAGGTGGCATACAAAGGACTGTATAAATAAATGCATAAACAGAAGTCCACACACCTGGAGGGCATTCCGCAAGCGAAATCTGTCCATCGTTAACGTCAATAAAGCTATTAGGGAAGACTGTACAGTGATTGTAACATACCCTTTCCTTTATCTAATTGATGATTATCAGAACTGTGTCTGTTACTGTCATTAAGTCATACATCGTTTTGATAGAGCAAGCAGACTATTTTAATAAAAATTGAATGTTATTTTCCTTTAGTTTTAGATTTACCACAGGAGTGTTATGGTGAGAATTCTCATCCCAGAGATACTCTTCAACAAAGTTCATGTATAAGGCAGCAGGAAATGTACAATATTTCCTAGCAGATACTGTTCACAAACAAGATTAGTGAAGGAAGTCAAAACATTCCAGTATTACTTTTGAATCAAAATAAGTTTTAGTGAACTTTAGGGGAAGTTTTAGGATGAAAAACAGCCATTTCCTTTTCCTGAGATTCAGGATGTCATTTTTATTGAAATGGGCACAGAAAATGGATGGGACTTCTATAAAATTGTATTTGATATATAAAGTTTGCATGAATGTATTTATGATCCTGGGATAACAAGAAGTGTAGGACATAGCTTACTAACTACTCCAGGCAGTTGTTGCAATGCAATGTATACTTGTTAAAATTGGGATCTGGCAGCCAAAGAAGACAGACATCTGATTTCATGAGGAAGGCTAATTATGGTCTCTGGGTTTTAGTTTGGGAAAACAGGCAGTCATCTAACCCATCTTTTCCAATGATAAGTAAAGTTAAAGTTTCCCCCTCACATGTGTGATAGTTGTTTTCAGCTCTAGGGGGTGGTGAACATTTCCGTTTCAAAGCTGAAGAGCCAGTGCTGTCCGAAGACGTCTCCATGCTCATATGGCTGGCATGACTAAACGCCAAAGGCTCACGGAACACTGTTATCTATTTTCCTCTTGTTAATAGCAACTCATCAAACTGTAGCCCTAAAAAGGTTCCCCTTGCATATATGTACTAGTCATTCCTAACTCTAGGGGGCAGTGCTCATNGGGGGGGAGAGAGAGAGTTGAGGCATCCAAGACAGCATTTGCAAGCACACTGGGAACGAAGATGGGGGTCTATGCAGTAAGTCAACTGGAGATCAATAAAATCAGGCAGCTTCCTTGTTAATACACTGTCTACACCTCTACTATATATATATATATAGCAATAGCTTACATGAATTCTACACAGGAGAGGATTGCAACTATCCAGAAAAAGTGGAATATTCCATGCTTTGCTTATTGCTATCTTTCTTTCAGGAACTTGGTGATGTATCTGATAATGAACAATGAACTTATTAAGAACTCTTGCAAATTCAATCCTTTCAGCTTTTGTATGTACTTATTTTCTCCAAGTTAAAGTTTAACAGTAATTTATTCAACTAAGCGTGGGTGGTACAAAATCACATTTTCCAAGGGTTCAGAAATGGAAAACCATAATAACATAAAACCAACTTTACCACAATTACCATACCAACAAGGGCGGACCATCACTGTATAATTTTGAAAGTTAGAATAGTGCGATATATGCATGGAGAGTATCATAATTACTTGGGAAAGCTGAATTACTGTAATTAAGCATTAACATAACTGCTGTATATTCATTCAGAAATAAAGACCTTCCACAAGTGAACACAATTGAAAGAGTCTGCTTACTATATAATGAGCTCAGTAAAATCAATAAAATATACAGAAGTTTATGAAAAAAAATCATAAAGGATATGAGAAAAAGAACCAAAAGTTCTTTACACTTTAGGAAGAAATTTGAAAGTTACTCTCTGCCTTTGGAAACATCTACCCCTCCAAACCCCCTTGCCTGCTTTGCCCATGCATTTAAGTAAAACTACTCTAGACCACAACATTCTAAGTAATTATGACTATTTTAATTTCCTCTCTTCCAGCTACAACTTGAATTTCACCACACTGCTTGCTTTAAGAAATCCTCAAGAACATAACATCCGTAAATGGGAAGACCACATGTTTTCTTGGCAATTTACCCAGTGACAATGCACTATTTTACTTCTGGGCACTTAACTAGGCATAAGTTCATCCCTCCCTTTAGCTTGGCCCTTTAGTAATAGCCAAAGTTGAAATCAACAAGTTTACCTTGATGCACACTGTAATCTCACCTGCCTAGAGAACATTCACTTGCAGATCAGTCTTCTCTCTCTTAACTCCCCCCCCCCATTACTTTTTTTGGTGTGATATCACAAGTGGTGGCATTAAAAGCATATAGATTGCAAAGGCAGCTTAACTCAGAGCAAAAACTGACTCCAAAAGAGACAGGCAGAAAGAAGTAAGAGCTTGAATTGCATAATTCTGGGAAAATCTTTAAAAAGGGTTGCTCACAACTTGGCTTCAGTGAAAGCTTCATAAATTAGAAAAAGGTGAACATACCTGTTATTCCCACACAAGGGAAGAAGACATGTGTGATGCTGCAGATGGCAGTGAGGGAGCCAAATCCCATGGTTAAAGTGTAACGGGAAACCTTATGGGGAAATACAAGCCGAAACTGGAATAGAAATCCTGTTGCTCACAAGACTTTGCTGCTGCTTCTGGTCCCCTTCTGTATCAGCAGCCGCTGCAATTGAAGCAGGCATTTCCTGTTTGTTGTCCAAGTCGCACCCCCCCAACACATGAAGATGAATGGTTCCCTCCTCTAGTAAGCCCCCCTCCTTCCGTTGTCCCAAGTAAGCTCTGAGCCTTTGAAACCCCCATGCAGCAAGAGCTCAAAGTCAGGAGACATGTACAAATAAAGTCAGATATTTAACAGCCAGTGTTTAGGCTAAACTCTGCAGGCTAGCAAAGCAAACCTTAAAGGGATATCTGCGTGCTTATAATTAATGGGCATCTTTAGCTACTAGGCAACCTCTGCAAATACAGTTAAAAGGAAGTTTGGGGACCCGCCTTTTTCGGCTCCAGATTATTATTTTTTTAATTGCATTTCTAAATGTTCTTTTTCTCAAAAAAACAAAGCTGTATTATATGAATAAAGTGTGTTAAAACTTCAAGATGCATTCAAATGTCAAACTGCCCTTGGTTGGTTGAATTTTATTCCACTTACATCATACTTTAAAAATATGCCTGTTCAACCTAAAGCAAGCCTTTGTGCAAGAGTTGTGGGTGGGGTTGACTTCATGAATATTTTCTCAAGACTCTAATTTTGCAGAGTGATAACTGCAGTTTTGGTCTGCTTTGTAGTTAGGATGAGTAGATCTTAGTCTGGGCTGGCTGGGCAATTCTGGGAGTTGAAGTCTGGACATCTTCGAGTTGCTAAGGTTGACAAATGCTGCCACAGTTTATTTTCAGGCTAGTATAAATTGCTTCATTTTCTCTTCTCATCCAGTCCTCAATCCAGTCACTACCTTTCACTCTGAATTAATCAATCAATAGTTGGAAAAAATGGTGGCAAGATAAAATGACACACGAAATAATGAAGATATTCTAGATTTTTATTTTTTTCCTATTCTGAACTTATTCAGCAAGAATTTTGTGAGTATCCAAAGAGATTATTTCCCTCCAATTTTTCACTCAGTTTTCTAAATTTTATATCAATCAAGTCAAACTTACAAGAAGGGCATGCTTGTTGAAAGAGTTATTTGTTTATAAACTAGTATAGTGAAATCACAAGTATATTTTGATGAACATACAGAAAGTCCATGACACATGAACATAATGGAATTCACCCATTACAATTACAAGTTGGGAAGGTTGTTACATCAGATGTCCATGTGATCATCTCATTTAATGACCCCCACCCTTGCTCTCCCCCATGTCATTAAGAGGAGCATAGGGTCCCTCAGGGTTTGGGTTGGTCCTGGGAGGTCTAGTGCAGGCCCAAGTTTACCTGCCCTGGACCTCCCAAAGCCTGCCCCCAAAAGCACCCCATGCTGTTTCCCATACCTCAGGGGACCCACAGGCCCGACACTTAGTTTTCCTTCCCACCAGATCCGTGCAGACTGTACAACTTTTGCAACCAGTTGTAAGTCAAGAAGTATCTGTATTATTCCACTTAAAAGTAGGATGGCCACATCCTACTTCTGCACATGCACTGGTGAGTAGCTCATTCACAAGTATAATTCAACCATCTGCAGTGCAGAACTTTTACAGAAGTCAAGCTCTAGTACACACAATTCAGAATTATCTTCTGAATTCAAGCTCTGATAGATTAGGGGTTAGGTTGCTAAACACCTGCATACACAGCTATACATGCAAAGGCTTCCCAGATGCAAATGTTGTATGAAATTTGTGGACAACTAAAGTCCTAGTGTTGTGTTACAAGAAGCAGGGGCCATTTACCACTGCTTGTGTGGTAAATTCTAAGTGTGCCTTATTTGTTGGGGAAACAAAGAAATGATTGACTGTATTGGGCTGCTAAAGACTTATTCTGCTTATAAACATTTTTTGTCATTGCAGAACTAGAAGCTGGTATTAGTTGGCCTGTTGTGTTAAAATGATTAGAGGTTTTCCTCTACTGTTTTTGATGATAGCTGGAGAACTAATGTTTTTGGTAGCTTGGAATCCCTGTGTAAATTGGAATGCTGTGTAGAGAAGTCTCTACTTACTGTGGGAAAGTAGAAAGGATAGAGAGCTGTAAACTAGCTTCACCTGAATTTTTTCTCTTCCATTCAATCATGTACGATTTTCAGAGACTAACTGAAAACTCAACTCAACTCAATGCAGGTTTCTTGACAAGGTTTTTCAGAAGTGGTTGTTTCAATTGCCTCCATCGTGGGGCTCAGAGAAAGTGACTGGCCCAGCTGCTTTTACGCAACTGAATTGCCTATTGTTATCTGCAGATTTTATCTCCAGCTACCAATTTTCAGACTATTGTAGGAATTGTTTCCTATGTGTGCAAATATTTACAAATAATACATAATCTTTGAAGACAGATGATACACTAAATTTGCAATGTTACCTCATTCAAATGAGCTAACGTATGAACACATAGCAGTATTCTAGACTTGAGGAAAGTCTAGAATTACCGTTATATTCATCTTTGAGGAAAGTATGGATTATGGAAAAGAAATTTAAGATGGAATATTATTTTCTTGGAGAGATGCTCTTTCTGTGTGAGCCAAAATGAAACAATAATAGGAAGCTTTAAATAATCTGGACATTTTAGAAATAGAGACAATTATTGGCCTTTCACCTGAACAGACAACTATACAATATGACAAAATCTGTCCCAAAGCTATTTGGAAAAGCATTAGGCAAAATGTTTGAAATCTAGCTTCTGCACCATCTATCACATCCCAGTTACTATTAAAGTGTTTTAAATCAGGGTCCCCAGGGGTATGTGGACTGGCAGTGGGTCGCGGCATGCCCGAAACTCGGTTGCGCAAACAAGTGAAGCCCCATCGTGAGATGAAAGCAGTATGCAAAACCACGCCCCCTCTGGTCTGCGGAAAAACCTCTCTCCACAGAATTGGTCCCTGATGCCCAAAAGGTTGTGGGCCTCTTGCTTTAAATCATCAGCAAAACACCAATCAAAATCTCATATATGTCTTTAAGAATTCTTTCAGTTTTCTTCCTTTGAAAAATATGCCAATCAACTAGTAAACAAATTTTGGGATAATCTAGATCAGGAGTCTTCAACCTTGGCAATTTTAAGACTTGTGGACTTCAACTCCCAGAGTTCCTCACCCAGCAAAGCTCTGGGGGTTGACGTCCAAAAGTCTTAAAGTTGCCAAGGTTGGAGACCCCTCATCTAAATTAGAATCATTAGCAGCTTTTACATTCTGAATGATTGATATGCTTGCTTTGGCAAGTAAGGTGCCTGGGTTGCAATTTTTTTGTGTTTCTTGATGAACTTTTTGCTTCCCATTTTTTTGTAGTCTCTTTCTTTCCAAAGCTTAGATCTTACAGTTGTGCCTTTGATCTTACTAGTATGTTATGTTATTGTTTGTGAAACAGTGGGAGCTAAGATGACTTCTTGCTATAATGGTACATACAAATGTAGTGCAAAGCAGATGGAGCTCAAGTGCTTGAATAAACTTTGCCCACACCCTTCTGCTCTGGAGCTAGAAATTTGGCAAATAATTTAAAGTTTATGGAATTTTCCTCTTGTTCCTTTGAGGATAATAAAATGCATCTGTTAAGGATCACTAA